CTTCTTCGAAGGGGAAGGAGTTGGCGCGGTAGCGGCCCATCACACACATGTTTCGTATTCCGCAACATGAGATCTTCCTGGGGATTTGTACTCTGACATTATTATGTTTTATGAAATGTTTTCTAGACATGTGATATCTTTATAAAATGTTATGATCAGTAAACGTTTTAATTCGAATGTTTTGCTAAGTATATGTTTTCAAAAATGAAATTTTTGGCTCGTATTTTGGGGCGTTACAATAGATTATATCACAATTGACAAAAAAATAAAGAAATTTTTCCATTTCTTTCAAATAAGGCACATGTTGTTAACTGATAATAGTTTTAGCATTATCATAAAAATCATGTTTTTTTGGCTCCAACTCCATGAATATATGACCCACTACACCACCATTGTAATTGTTCGTGTATTCCACAAGATTTTGAGTTCCTAATATGCCATCTCCTGAATTGCCTCACCCAAGGCTCTTTTTGGTTGCACCCAGACTCACTTGTAAAGGCTAAAACCATACAAAGGAATATCTAATCATTCGGACATTCACCGACTGTAAGATTTATTTAAAAAAATATTTTATTCAAGAAAATAATATGATTATAATTTATTTATGAATGACGCAGGTGGCTTGTAGGAGTAATGATGGGGTATTGAGAGCTATATGCTATTGCATTGATTTCTAGTGGTTTCACTGTGAGTAATTACTGTGATTTATATTTTTGTTGATTTGTTAAAAAACATTGAATATAATTACAAAAATGGCAAAATTGAAGTACTTTCAGTTTTGGTCATTATTAACATACAACAGATTGATTTTTAATCAAGTTTATTTTAAATTTGATTTTGCAGGTTTTGCAATTTTGGTTGAGATTATCAATTTCTAGATTGGAGTTAACTAATTACTTGTTGAATTTAGCTCATTTTCTAGTAATTCATTTGATATGTGTTAGGTATATAGTTTTTTCGAATATTGTTGAGGTGTCTAGCATAATTCTAATCACTCTCATCAGAATACAGAAGCTATGATTTTGGTTCAGCTTCTATGGTTCAAATCTAGGTAATAACGTTTTAATTCTATTTCTCTACTCTATATGCAGGTTGTGGCATTTAAGGCCAACTTTAATTCCATCTCGCTCTCGAACCAATTGTAAGGTTATATATTTCATCTTCTGTTAAATTTTTCTTGTTGGGTTTTTTTTTAAAAACTGACTTTGGCCCCTCTCCAATATCTATTTGATTAAAAAACCCATATAATAGAAAATACTTAACTTATATACTTTTAACTTCAGTTTTACCTACCCCAAAACAGTCAAATGTTATTTGTATTTTGCAACTTAAAACCTATTAAATGATGATGTGGCATCGTGACACCGGTTGCTACCATGTCATCGTCAATGTGAAAATAGTTGCCTATATCAGTAAGAAATGATAGTTTGTAGCTATTGTGGGTAAAAATAATAGTACATTGTCTTGATTGGTATAAATACATAAGTACATTGCTATTTTTTGTAATTTGCCATCCAATTATTTCAGGAAAGTTGTCACAATTCATATTAAGAGGTGAGCATATGGTGATAATTAATGGAAAAGAAAGGTAATCCAACATTTCAATGAAAGCAACATACAAATATGGTGATAGAATATTATGTATCGAATGGTGTTTTTTGTTTAATTTGTAGCGACTTTTGATTTCGAAATATGTGTTTTTTGATGTGTTGGATATTTCTTTTAGTTTTTATATAAATACTTTATTACTTTTGGTTTTATATTAATTGTATTTTTATAAAATGATAAAAATAATCAAACTGAATAACCGAATTTCATTGAATAATTGTATGCAACAATTGCTATGGAATAATTGACATGAAACTTGCTATGGAAGAATTGCTACAGAACTTGCTATGGAATAATTGCTATAGAATTAGCTATGAAAGGATTTCTATGAAATAATTGCTACAGAAAAATGCTACAAAATTGGCTACAGAAGAATTGCTACGGAATTGGTTACAGAAAAATTGCTACCGAATTGGCTATGGAAAAATCGCTATGAAATTTGCTACGGAAAAATTGCTACGAAATTGGTTAACGGAAAATTTTCTATGGAATATGCTACAAAAATGCTATGGAACTAAAATTGCAACAAAATAATGTCGTAGAAACTGTTATATCAAAGTTGCTACGAAATTATAATTCTGTAGCTAAACACTTTGCTACAAGAAATATAGCTACAAAGTCTAATTGATAATTTGCATAGCAAATTTCGTAGTTATTCAGCTTTAGCTAAGAAATTTCAGCTTTTTGCTACGAAATTTTTTCCATAGCTAAATTGAAATTTTCTTGTAGTGGAAATTCACAGTTGTTACTTTTCTTTAGCATCATTCAATCTTTTCCCAAGGTCACATGTGCACTTCGGAGTCGGCAACACAGACTGAATTTCGTCCAATATCCCTCACATATTAGTGTAGTAAGCCAATATTGAACTACCTTCTTGCTGAGTTGTGGTGAGGACTTGTTTCAATTCATACGCACAAGGGGCACTTTCTTTACCAAATTGTTCTTCGAGATCACCCCACATCTCCGTTGTTGTGTTTGCATATTTAACACTCGATTTGATCGTCTTTTCCATCGTCGTGGTGAGCCGACCCTTGATCATAGCATCATAACACATCCACCTCATGTAATCAAGGAAATCACCTTCTGGTAGTTTGATTGTCCCATCTACAAAACCCATCTTGTTCTTTACAAATAGGAAACTCTTCATCTCTTGAGCCTAGTCTCCATAATTCCCATCAGTGAGAACGTCGTTTGCATGCATCTAACTCAGATGTATGTGTGTAATATAATGAGTTCGTGTCAATTCGATCATCTTCTCTAGTTCCGGATTTGCCTGCATCATCTCCTCCTGTGGTGGCATTGTTACTTAAAAGGAAAAGATAATAACTAATACGTAGGAGATAATTACAAATCTTTTAATTCGTGAATCACAAAATCCTATTCAGCAAATTAAAATGCATATTCATGTCATGGTAAATGTTCAAAAAGCTGTTATTTTGGCAGTCTTTAGCGCGTCACAACTAGCTGATAAACTAGCTTATTTTTTGAGTTTTTTTTTATTTTTTTTATTTTGTTGTGTTTGGTAAGCAAAAAAGTAATTTATAAGCTAATTTTTTGAAAAACTAACTAGACTAGCTTTTTAGGAGCTTTTTTAAAATTTTCCAAATACACCCATGCATGAATTATAGAATACATACTCTTACATATCTTTTTATGTAATTTTATATATTTAAGCTAGCTTTTCAACTAGTTTTACCAAACATTATTTTTTATTAGCTAACTTTTTATTTAACAGCTAGCTTTTTAATTATCAGTTAACTTTTCATCTAATACACAAAATATAGCCTTTGTGGTAGTCGGCTTTGATTTTGGTAAAAATGTTTTATTAATAAAAATCGATATCATTGACATTTAGAGTTGCTTACAAAAATATGGTTTGATATGAAACATCCAAATTGGCAAAAAAAATAAAAATAAATAAATAAATAAATAAATAACAGATAAACAAATTGAATTGGAAATCGTATTGTAAAACCTATAAGAAAACTAGCAAAAGTTAAGAAGTTCAGGATCACTTTGTAGAATGTCCATGTCTTGATTTCCCAAACACACGAGTGCTTCAATACCATCTCCGTTCGGAGCATCCATCAGAATAAAGCTATCTTTTCTTAGATCTCCAGCATGGGTTGCTTGTATGGGCTTTCCCCACCCAAAATCAATATCATATGCAGAATATCCACACAAGCTTGAACAGATATAAACGGCAGCATGTTTTTTTAGGTCTTCTTCTAAATCTTTTTCCAACAGAATACCAAAGGCAGTTTCTATATTTCTTATCGCTTGAAATTGCATCTTTTGTTTCCTGAGCTCACTAATGAATGACTTCGGGTTCATTTCACTTTCGTTCTTTGTAAGAATCTCCATGGGTAAGACAAAATTTCCAATAGTCTTTGCAGGAAGCTTCTCGATCATATTGCTTCTTAGGTTTATTATGAGGCCAACACCAATGGGTATGAAAGAGCCTGAGTTATTTCTCTTAGCTGCTTCCACTGAACACTTGTAAAGTAACCAAGTCAAAACTTCGACTCGAGTAGGGTTTGTAATGGGTTCTCCAGATTCTGCAGTCATGGCTTTGACTTCGAGTTTAAGCTCGTTTATCTTTGAGTTGGGGAACACGAAGCTTCTTGTGACACAATCATCCGATCTCTCAAGGACTAACCCCTTAGACTTTACGTTCATGTATTGAAACTGAATAAACTCGGGGTCAGTGATGATTTCATGTTTCTCTGCTGTTGACCCAAATCGTGTTATTTTAGCCCAATCATTCAGGAAATGAAACAAACTACTTCCATCTGCAACCTTGTGGGATAACGATACTGCCACTGCTACTCCTCCACATTCAAAATGGTTGACCTGAACCTCCAATGGTGTCACTTCATCGCTTTGAAGATCTTGATCATCTCCATGGTTGGAGTTATAATTTACTAGACCATGTGGAAAGAATTGGTCGAGATCTTCACGCTTTGAGTTTTGAAGGAAATCCGAGAGCGTTGTATCGATAGTTGCTTCAAGGAACTCTGCTCCTTTATCGTTGCAATTTACATAGGATGGTGACACTTTCGCATTAATCCTACCAGCGAAAGTGTAGTATTTTGTTAATGTTTGTGATAAAGAGTTCTTGAGGTCAAGAGTTGTTTTATCACGATATATACCGGTGTTTGGATAGAATGTGACTATTGGTGCAAATAGGGTGGGTACGATTTGATCAATCAGTGAAAGATTGTAAGTTTTGAGGTGGGAAGGGGTTGGAGAAGAGGGTTTGATGATTTCTCTTGAGACTATTGTGTGAAGCTGCCTTCTACTAAATCGTATGAGGTTGCCAATCATCACCATCTTCCCAAACAAGAATCTAATAACGATTATGAAGAAAGCAAGTATTAATGATATAGCACAAGTTAACGTGCAAGGTGCGAATATTGAAAAAATTTCCAATTTCCTGGTCAACAAAGTGGAGCTTAGACTTGGAGGATACACGTACAACTCTGGAAATATTCAAAGTGAAGGTAAGAGAAGGGTAAAAATTGATATATTCAAATGATATGTTTGGATATCGGAAACGCAATGTTTTAAAAACCGATTCGAACTGGTTTAATCAGGATTCGGATAAATGAACAGTTCAGTTATAACTGGTTTTATACCAATTTATTGAGCAGATAATAACAGTTTTTTTTTTTTTTTTTCGAAAGCTGGCCCGGAAACCCTCGTTAGGGAAGATCCCTTTCCAAAAAATAATAACAGTTTTTATTTTAAAAACTTGGTTGAACCGGTCTTATCGTAAAAAAACGTTTGAACATTTATTAGATTTAGATAGTTGGAGTTTACTTCGCCCACTTAAACTCATTTCAAAAGCAAATTGTATGGGTGTGTATGGAGCGGTTTGGTTCGGTTATTGGTCAAAACCGAACCATAACCATTACAATTGGTTAATGTATTTCAATAGCCATTGGGTAGCGGTTAATATTGGTTTTGGATAACAGGTTTTTGTCGATTAATGGTTATGGTTAATGGTTAATATTGGTTAACCATAATGGTCAAAGATGACATAAAATTAAAAATACTTTTCTATAAAAATTAAAAAATGTAAAGTCCATTGTTATAAAAAGTGAATGATTATGTATATATAATTGTATTGTAGAAGATTACTTATCATATTTAATTCTAGATAATTACCCTTTAAATTTTTAATTCTTCATATAATTACATATAATATACTCCTTACGCCTGATATTTATTGTTCACTTTTGACTTGTATTTATTGTTCAACTTTAACCTTAAATATTTTTATTTATGTTATAAATTACTTGATAAAACTTATAAAATGAAAAAACATTTAAAATACAATTCATGTATATATTTTGCATCAAATATTATATATGAAAAACAAAAATAATTAAGATTAAAGTTGAAATATAAAAACTTCAAAAGTAAAAAGTGGACAATAAAAATGAGATGGAGAGAAGGGGTATTTAATATTATATTATAATAAAAATATTTATTAATATTATTGGTTGATTCGGTTCGGTTCGGTTAATAGTGGTTCGGTTTTAGATGAAAACCATAACTGAACCATATGTATTCGGTTAATCAAAATTAGAAACCGCACCATATATTTTAGTAATGGTTCGGTTATATTGGTTAATTTGGTTATGGTTCGGTTTTTCGGTTAATATGCTCACCCTTAGCAAATTGAATAGTTGGATTGATGTAATTTTGTGGTTATGTGTACTATTAATGTTTGAAGATGGATCATGTTGTATGTATGCAGGAAAATAAAAATATATAAAATTCTGAAAATCAGATTGAACTGGAAACCAATTATCAAATCGGTTGAACTGAAAAAAGGTTTTCTAAAACATCAGAGAAAAAATTGGAAGTATAAAATAAAAAAAATAAAAAATAGGAAGTTACCCAAGAATTTGAACAGGTTTGAAAAGAGACAAAACTGGAAATTTCAAGTCATTTCCTCAAATATTGGAGGGACGAAATTGGAATTCTCAAAAGTCAAAAGTATACGTTGATTGCCAGATGTGGAATTCTTCTTTTCAAAAGATTGAACATCGAATTTTCTTTCCTTTAAAAGAATATAAAATAAAAACATCAATGAATTTTTTCTTTGAGAATATAAAATAAAAACATCAATGAATATTTTCTTTGTTTAATTTTCTGAAAAAAATGACCGTATAATAGTTTTATGTTCTAAATTTTTTATTACAAAATAGCAAAAGAAAATTTTAAAAATAACTTGAATAGCCATGAATTTTGCAGATACTATTTGTGAAAATTCATGTCCATCTCCGATTTTTTTGGTTTTTCAAACGACATTTTGGGATCTTGACGGCAAAAATTACAGCATTGATTGCGAATTTCCTTCTATCTTTAAATCTTTATAACTCTTTCGTACAAAGTATGTTTGGGGTGAATTTGCTTTCATTGTGTTCTATGAATAACATCTAAGATCAATTAAACAAGGTGCATTGGTGCTCTCGTGATGGAATTGTCTCTTTATCCTATGTTAAGAGTGTTTGGCAAACTATTAGTCTATTACTCTTATCTTGGCATCACCTTATTTGGTTTAGTTAGAACATCCTACGTCATGCTTTCACCCTTTGGTTTCCTATTAAGGGGCGATTGAAGATGAAGGATAGAATTTAAACATGGGATCCTTAAGTGGATCCTACTTGTGGTTTTCGTAACTTTGAATTGGAATCTCATAATCACATTTTCTTTGAGTGTCAATTCTATAGTTTGATCTGGTATAAAATGACGTTGTATTCTAGTGATTGGGTTGTAGTCCATGATTCTTTGGAAGAGATTATTACCCACCTCCAAAATATCCTTAAAGGGAAAGGTGTATGGATCATTATCATAAAACTTATTCTCACGAGCACTATCTACCATATCTAGAGAGAAAGAGACTATCTCATGTTCAAGAGAATCGGGAATTTTAAAGACGTTATATCCCGTAACACTTTTTAAGAGATTAAATTAAAACTCTTAGACCTTCGATACATTCACTCTTCTATTGATTATGATGTTGTAAATGTTATTGTTGATAATTCTTGTGAAATTTCGTTACCATACTTTGTATTTTTCTAGTTATTCATGCAATTTTGGTAGATTTGGGCACTAAGAACGTAGATGTTACTGCCTATTCTGTCACAAAGCTACTGTTAGCAAGCTGATTATGGGTGGATTTTTTCTAGTTTTGCTAGTCCTCAACATATCCACTCCATGATTTGCATTATTGTGTTTTAAGTGTCATTGGGCATTTGTATTATTTAAAATGTGAAATGTCCAACTATTTCTAGTACCATGTTGATGTTTGGCTTATTAGTTTAGATACTCTTCTAGTTGTTGTTTTGGGCCCTAGTACCATGTATTTTTTTTAATCCATGTAGGTTAAGCCCGGCCCAATACCAAGGCAAGATGGGCTAAGGTCCAAGACTCCAAGGCAACAAAATATTAAAGGTGGTAAGTAATAGAATAAATTACAGGAATGGTATTTTTGGTAATTTGCATGTTTGGTTCCTAACTTAAATTTTTAACTTAGAAGATCCCTACAGTTTGTTTTTGTTGCGCGTTTCATCCCTATCATACTTAAAAAAAAAAAAAAAAAAAAAAAAACTATTTTCCGTTGATTTTTTAATTTATTTAAATAAGGTGGGATAGGTAAGGCATGGTGAGGTGAGATGGAAATGTGGTTGGGTGTATTTATTTAAATAAATTAAAAAATCAATTGCAAAATAGTTTTTTTTAGATAAAACAGAGACCACACGTGCAACAAAAACAAACAGTAAGAATCTTCCGAATTAAAAAAGAAATAAGTGAATGACCAAACGTGCAAATTACCCCAAACCATAGGGACCATTCATGTAATCTACTCTAAGTAATAATGTATATATCAATTTGGCCCAAATGATTTAGACCAATAGAGATGATATAAGTTCTCTCGACACAAAACGGAATACTGACGCACGACAAGGGCACGAATCGACGCTAGAGATGTTATCAACATTCGTGATTTGTTAAATGCCTAGAAAAATGAACTCTCGAGGAGTCAACTACTTCTCTAAATTGATTGACTCTCAACCTCAAAAAGGGAGACAAGACATACAAGCATTTGGTTTTATAAATGAGTGATGCTAATAAAACACCTCTTAGACATCTCATTGACATTTTTATAAAAAAGTCAACATATAATTAACTACTTATAATCAGTTTTTTCGGAAAACAATACAATATCAATCAATAAAAATATTTAAAAAATTAATTAGGGTGTCCATATGGTAAAAATGATTGTCTTTTTAGCCAACTCCTTTATAAATATATCGATTCGACTGATGTTTGATTTTTCAAAGTTGGAACTCCATACTTGGAATTTGTCGGTTGGAAGCCTTCGGTTAAAAGGATCTATTTATTTGTCTATTCTCCTATTTCTGATTCCCGTTTTATTCAAAATATATCGGTTTTGTTCAAAATACGCTATCTTATTCTTCTGATTCTAGAGTTGTGGTTTGCTTCAAGAACAGGACTGTAGCCTATAGGAGTTCCAATCTATGCTGCAAATTTGATTTTGAAATCAAAAGTTCGCAGTTCTGAATCTATGATGTATACCTTTTCAGTTTCTTGAGTTTTGTAATTTGTTTTTCTGATTAGTGGTTATCTCCGTGATTATTAATTTTTATTGAAAGTATAACACCTATCTTTGATTTTCGTCTTCAGATTGAAATATTGGATTTTGATAACTCAAGGAGATGACCATTTGGGGCATTGATGTAATTTCATAGTTGAAGCTTGGATACTGTATAGTGTTTTGACATTTTTTTGCTTTTGATGATAATTTCCCTTATGTTAAAATTTAAATGGTTTTTATGTTTTGAAAATTATTGATTGAATATGTGTAACTAGGATTTTGTAACTGCATAAATTCTTGAAATTTTGAACATGTTTGCCAAATACTGGTCTATTTATAAACTGGTTTGCAATGAATTAATTTGTCAAATGTCATTCAAGTATTTGTAAATTTGTTTTTGAGTAAATTACACGAATGGTCCCTATGGTTTAAAGTAATTTATATGTTTGGTCCCTAATTTATTTTTTTAACTCGGAAGGTCTCTACTGTTTGTTTTTGTTACACGCTTGGTCCTTATCTCACCTAAAAAAACTAGTTTGCTCTTGATTTTTTAACTTATTTAAATAAACACATCCCCAAACACAACCCCTCATATTATCCTACCTACCATACCATTTTTCCCTATTAAAATAATAGTCTTTTTAGGTAAGACAGGACCAAACGTGAAACAAAAACAAAAAATAGGGACCAAGTGCGTAAT